GTCGATCCTCTAGCCCAACAAAGTGAAGACAGACCTGCAACGAGAAAACGGTTAGCACCCAATAGATAAACGGAGAAAAGAAGGAAAGGAAAAGGGAGCAAGCTGTTACCTCGGCCAGGCTCTGTAGCCCCTGCTCGTACAACCTGTTCGGGGTCATCCCCAGCATCTGGAAGCGGTCCCGTGCCAGGAGAGCCCCACTCACCAACGCTGGGCCAACTTCCGCATTGTTGATGGAGTCCCCCTTGCGGATCTCCCACTCAGGGTGGAAGATTTGGTCAGACTGCTGGGCGAGCACCTCCAACGGTGTGGGAGCAGAAAACGGCCCCATTCGCTCCTTGTGGGGCTTCCTCAGGGCGTCACCGGCACAACTCCTAGTGTGGGCCATCTTCTGCTGCAGCTGACCCCCTACGGCCTCCTCGGCCGGCCTCTTCCTCCCTGCCTCGACCCCGTCGGCAGGTCCTCTTGCCACCTCAGCCGGATGCTGTGGCGCTTGCTCTTTGCGCCCGGATGGCCCTCCTCGACAGGCCCCTTCCCCTTTGCGGGGATCTGTGGAGTGGCTCCCTTTGGGGGAGCTATTGAAGAAGTCCCTTTGGCAGGGACCTATGCTCTCATCCCCTTGTTAGTGACCTGGCGGGAAGACCCCCCTTCGTAGGGGCCGATGCCTTCTCCTTCTGGGCTGGCGTGGCCACGATGGGCTTCTGAACTGTTTGTTCGCCAGCCTTCGCCCGCTCCTTCTGTATCACGTGGGCACGGTTCAATATGGCCTTCCGAGCATCCATCGGCACTTCTGTAAGCAAAACAACAGTTAGTACCATTATACAAAGACGAAGGCGAGGAAAACATGGAAAGGAGTTGGGTGGCCTATCCTACTGAGGGGGGGTAGGGCTGAGTCCCGCGAAAACCAATGGGATTTCCTCCTCCACCAAGGGCTGGGCTCGGACTCTCCCCAGGTTGAGCAGCCGCGCGAGATTGTCACTTTCCTCACTCGTAAGCAAGGGGACACTTTTCTCTGTAGACAAGCTAGCCTCTCCCCACCCCGATTTGAAGGACCAGCCCTCGGGACAAGACAAAAAGAAATATTTACTCTTCCATTTGTTCACGGAAGAGGGGTTATCTACGGCCTTGGACTTGCGGGGTTGGGAGTAGAAGACACCAGCTTCGGAAGAGTGCTTCCTCAGCACGAAGACCGCTCGGAAGAGCTTCGGCGTTAGCTCCACCCCCTAGAGTCGAGCCGCCACCAGCATCGCCACAATGGTTCCTATCGCATTGGGCGCCAATTGGCTAAGGGTAATCCAATACACCCTTAGCAGGTCAGAGATCAACGGATGAAGGGGGAACCGAAGACCGAATTGGAGGAAGTGTTGATAAATGCAAATTTCCCCCTCCTTGGGAGTCCACGGCCGATCACTCGCTTTAGGCGCCCTCACCCCATAGGACGAAGGGATGAAGTATTGCCTCGTCAGGGCCTTGACCTGATCCCATTCTAGAGAACCTTCGAACTCTGGGCGAGAAGGATCAGCCCCGGCCACTACCCCGACAACACTCTCAACCCTCGTCCCGGGGACGAGGTCCAGGTTCTGCTCCCCCTAAGCTTCCCTCGGCGTCACAGATGGGGCGCTCTCACAGGGAGGGTCATTGCCTCGGCGGATGCCTTCGGCTCCCCTGGAGGTTACCCTCTCCCGGAGCACCTCCACCTCACACCGAAGGGGAACGGAAATAGAAGGGCTTAAAGGGGAAAGGGGAGAAGGGGTTCGAATGGAGCTCCCCTTAGATACATTCGGAAGTTCATAGCACTCAGGTCCAGAATCTGAGAAAGACATCGTTGGAAATTACCTAAAAAGGGGAGTGGAAGGAAAAGAAGTGAAGGTAGAGTGTTGAAGACCGGGAGAATCTGGGAGCTGAGTTCACTCGAAGGTGAAAGCACTTGGAGGCAAAATGACAAGAATTCTGTTGTCGAAGCCCTTATTTAAAGAAGAACGAACGGCCTAGATTTATCGAGATCTAACGGTTGAGAAGCCAACGCCTCCACAACCCAATCATTGTGCACCATGTGACGCTCAGCCTCGGAAGGCGAAGCAACGTGCTGATAACGGCTTGGATCATCTCGATTCTAACGGATGAGAAGCACCTCCGCACCTGCGATCTAGCCGCGTCGCATTCCTAATTGCCCACCCTCGGAAGGCGAAACAATGCTCAAGATAACCATCGCGTCCGCCCACAGTGACCCGCCGATCCGGGTGACCCATTCTCACGAGCATGCACACCGGTTCAACTGAAAAGCTGTCTCGCGCGCGGATCCTCGGGCCCCATAGGCCCCTAGCCTAAATAGCCTTTGGCTTCACAGGCCCTTGGTCTAAACAACCTTCAGCTTCACAGGCCCCCGACCTCAACAGCCTTCGGCTTCACAGGCCCTCGGCCTAAACAGCCTTCGGCTTCACAAGCCCCTGGCTTCAACAGCCTTTGGCTTCACAAGCCCTCGGCCTAAACAACCTTTAGCTTCACAGGCCCTCGACCTAAATAGCCTTTGGCTCCATAGGTCCTCAGCCCAAATGACGGTACTAGAGCATCCTTACTGAGCGTGCCTCCCGGGTCACTAGTCCCAAGCAGCAATGCCATAGGCCACTTGCAGTCTCGGTCCAACTTATAAAGACGAACCAGGCAGAGATGCGAAAGAGGACGCCACTGCAGGGTACACCTCGGCTACCGGGCCCACTGGCGCTCACCATTACTACTCCCATCAGCCAATACCGAATTTTTCTCTTGGCCTCGGGAGTGGGGGGCAAGTGATGTGGGGTGACCCAACTCAGCCCATTTGAGGTTGGGAGGCCCAGCCCACAAGCGCCAGATTCGGGATCGAGATCCACTACAACAGGGGTTACCTTGCTCCCCTCGTACAGAGCCAATCGCGGGGCGCCCACGCATCCCTGCAGAGCTCTCTGACTGCCCTCGTACGACACCCATCTCAGGCGTTCATCTCTACCTACCTCCAGGCAGTTCAAGTATAAATAGGGGTGCCCCTCTCCAAGTAAAGGGATCAAATACAATCTTCAGTTCAAATTTGGAACTGGGCTCACAAACTATATCCTAGTTCCCCTCTTCGTACCCCGTACTAACTTGACCGTCGGAGACTCTGCCTTGGGTTCTCACCCGGGGCCTCTGACGTATTCTGCCTTGCAGCACCTTGGCCACCTACCTTCGGCTTCTACAGTATTCAGAGCCCTCTCCGCCTCGGCCTGCACACCTCGGCCTCAGCAGCAAGCTCTCCGAACCCTCAAAGCCTTTGGCCAGCCTTCAGAGTCTAGGGGCGAAATTACTTTGTTGTCCTCGGCCAACCTGAGCACCAACACCACCCATCATTACCTGTGGACATTCATAGATGAATTAACTAAACATATGTAGGAGGAGATTCCATGGTACATGTTGTTTGTGATAATATTCTTTTTTTATCAATATTGCTGATAATATTCTTTTAGTTGATGAAATTAGTGAAGGATTAAATGCAAAGTTATGTTTATGGACAAATACCTTAGAAACAAGAGACTAAAACAGAATATATGATATATAAGTTTAGTAATAATGAGAGTGTAAATTAGGGTATACTTAGTATTGGAGACTAAGAGATAACTCAAGGAGACCTTTTCTGGTACCTTGGTTCGGTAATTCATAACAAGGGAGAGATTGAAGAGGATGTCACCCATAGAATTACAGCAGGATGGGCAACATGGAGGGGTGCATTTGGAGTCTTGTGGGATAGGTGAATATGACAGATTAAAAAGAAAATTTTATAAAACAGTTGTAATGTGAATGCCAGCTATGTTGTATGGATCAGAGTGTTGGGGGGCAGTCTAGAAACAACACGTCCAAAAAAATGAATGGCATAAATGCGCATGCTAAGATGGATGATTGGAATAGCTAGAAAGATAGGGTTAGAATTGAAGTCATTTGAAGGAACCTAGGAGTAACTCCAATAGGTGATAAAATGAGAGAAAGTAGACTAAGATGGTTTAGTAATGTGTGTAGAAGATTATTGACAGCACCCATAAGAAGTGATCTATTGCAAGTTAAGGGGCTAGAAGGGCTATGGGTAGACCAAAAAGGACATGGTTCAAAGTAGTAAGAAATGATTTAAGCGTTCATAATTAAAAAATGGATATGGCATTAGACAGAGCAGAACGGAAAAAAAGGATTCATGTAGCCAACGCCGTATAGTTAGGATAACGCTTGGATGATGCTGATGATATTTTTATGCTTTTGTTGGTCTTATTTTATGGAAAATGGCCCTTGATAGAGTGGAATGGTGAAACAAGACTCGGTGTCACTGACCTTATATAGTGAGATAAGGCTTTGTTGAGTTGTATTTTAGGAGCTCTGCTTGCAGCCTTGTAAGATGTTATTGTCGTTCTTTATTTGGAATATTTTCTTTCATTTTTGTTACAATCTGTTAATTTGCTGTAGACTATAGATCTGGTGACCATTATTCTTATTACAATTAATTATACTGTGAAATTATTAAGCCTGATGTTTGGATATTTTGATGGTTTATTTTTTGAACAAGTATTGTATTATATTTCTTGTAAGCAAGAAGAGCAAAAGGCCCTTTGAATACTAGGGGCTTATATCAACTATTGCAGTATTGCCCATGGATTAATTAGTTCTGACTTCACCTCCTCGTCCATACATTCTGGTTGGACTGTGACATCCTTTGCTAAGCATCCTTCAAGTTCACATAAAATAATCCATTGTTTTGCTAACCCGAGACCTTGCAGCAGAGTGAACAGTTCGGCCTTCAAAGAGTTTCTCATACAATTGACTGAACTGTTGGCTCTGCTGCAAGGTCTCCAGTTAGCAAAACACTGGATTATTTTATGTGAACTTGAAGGATGCTTAACGAAGGATGTGACAATCCAACCAGAAAGTATGGACAAGGAGGTCAAGTCAGAATTCAGAAGTTGTGGTTCCTGTTGAAGCAGTTAACTGTACCTCTTCCATTTCTGTATCAGATGTTCCAAAATCAGAAGAAGGCAAATCATTGAGTGAGTTGACTGGTCCATCAAATTCTAGAGAGTTGCAATATAACCTCCAAAAAGAAGTTTTAGAAGAAAATATTTCAACTTTTTCTGCAAATGTGAGAGGGGAGATCTTGCCTCAGGATCAGTTTAATAGTAGTGAGACCAAGCCCGGTGAGATGATTCACGAAGTTCAAATTAAAGAAGACAGTGCTTTTGGGTCAGAGGCAGAAGAAAATGTCCACTTGGCCAGTAAGACAGAAAGGCATTCAATTTCAGTTGAGGTAATTTAAATATATATTATGGTATATGGTTTCTGGACTTTATATGGTTGTTTTTAAGTTTTATTTGTACAATATATCTGGGTTTCAACTAGCCTTTTGGGTATACAATTGTTATATTATGCTTTTGTTGTTTTCCTTTGCCAGTTCCATGTTTGAAATGATTAACATATAAGCTTCTGTTGTCACCGATATGTAATATTAATAATAAAATAATTCCTATTACATTGTCAAATTTTGTTATTCATTTCAAACCTGTGATGAATCTCTTAAGAATGGTTAATAAGTGAAGTTGGAAGAGAAACAACTGAAAAGGAAACTGCATCAAATAAGAGATCCTATTCCATATGATTGATATGGTCTCTTAGACCCTGAAGCAGGGAATCCATTCTATTGTTTGGTTATGTGAAAGTACTATAGAAATATCTCTTGGACCTTCTTCACATGCCAAAGGTTGTTATTATTAATTTTCTCCATTGCTAAGACCATTTTGAAGACACTAATCATACCATGTTACTCTTCTTCCATGCCAAAACCTGAGCAAGGAAAAGATACAGCTTTGGGCACTGTCACCAGTAAGTGTGCTTGCATGATAATACTTAATGCTTTCATCTGTTCCCCAAGGATTGGCCTTTTTAACATCAGTGTTGTCAAGGTTGAGCTGGATTTGGAATTTCATCAGTGCTCACCTTGGAAAGTTCAACTTAAATGGGTGGCTTTGTCCTTTTTATTTTACATTTTGTGCAATTGCGGTCAAGGTGTAGAAGCTTGGTTTTAGAAGATTAGTGATTTTCTTTTCAACCTCTCCTTACCCTCTATAGTACTTTTTATCCAACTCTTCTGTGCAGGCCCAACAAATGGGTGATCCACCCTAGTTTCATAATTTCTCTGTGGTTTTCTTCTTGCCAAATATTTGCATAAATTCTCAACATGGTAAGGATTTAACTATTGCGGTAAATTAGGGCCATAGGGTGGGAAGTGGGCCAAGATGGTTAATTATCAAAATAGAATCAGGGAGAATATGGTGAACACAAATGCCCAATTCAGATGGACTCCTAGGAACCTGAATACATTAATAGATAGCCTAACCAGGTCAGGAGTTGAGTAGTTTTTCCCCACACGTACAGTGACATGTCTGCATCAACTTTGTTTTCTGTAATTGGAAGGGCTGTACATCCATATCATTTCGTACATGCTGTCATGTACTGACATTTTGGCATATGGCTTCTACACAATGAACAAAGTTACCTTTTTCTCAAGAAAAAAAGAAAAAGAGGCAAAAAAAAAATCTCAACATGGATGCTAGTGGAAGATACATGTACAAGATTCAGCCTTTGGCTGTGTAGTGGTGGTTGATCAGGCAAGAGATCTCTACATGAGGCTGGTGTAGCCAATGCAAGCAGACTACAGCTAACCAGAATCAAGTGTCTCTTCGACCTTGTATCACTTAGATTTTTTATTATCTCCTATTGATTAGCCTATGATGTTCTATCCAATAAATGTTGTCTTTGGCCTCGATCTGACTCCAACTCAATAAGACTAGTTGCCTGGTGATCTTTATTTAGATAGGTTCTCTTAAATCTTTGGAGAGTACTCGTGTCTGATCAAGGAGAAACCTTTTGCATTTTCTCAAAGACCAAAAGTACGGTATTTGTTTGTACTTTTCTGGGTGAAGGAATTATTCCATGACATTTTAGTTGACAGTAGTTGCATTGCAGGGATTACAATTAAATGAATACTGGTGATTTCAGATTAGCAAGCTTTTAATTATAATTTGATGTAGTTTTGTAAATTTGGTTGGTTGGTTGTTGTTGAGGTTTTGAATATACAATGCAATCTTAGAAAGCAACATTTGGACCTGGTAGTTCCCTTTTCACTTTTGGCATGTCAGAAGTTTCTTATCATGCCGTAGAGCTTAGTGTGAAGCACAATTACTACCATTTGCATGTCATGCATGCAAGTTTAGGATACTTGTCTTAGTGACTGGTCTTTTTTGTGCAGGTAGCTGCTTCCCTGATTCGTTTCATCGAAGGAAAAGGGTATACCTTTAATCTTTTGCCAGATTTAGAATAGTTATTTTGACATGTCCACCCAGGGAAAAAGGATCCTAAATTGAGCATCTAAATTTTTAATGTCACTAATGGTTAAATAATTCTTTCATTCCTTTAGAGGATCTACACAGAAACAAATTGAGGAAGAAATGGGAGTAAAAATTGTATTTCCCTCATCTAAGAAGGAGAACTCCATTAGTAAGTTGCTTACTGATCCAACTGATTGTTACCTTTTTATCTTATCAATGAGAAAGTTTTATATTGTTTATCTTTAGTGATTAAATGGTATCTTAAGTTGAATTCCTTTTTGTAATATTACCAATTTACTATAAATATTCCTGACAATTCCTAGTACTCCATGTCACAGAAAATATCCTCTGATCCCTAGAAACCCCAGTTTAATTATGGTTTTGGTGGTGAGCTAGTTTTTATTTTACAAACTTCTATTTTCTATTTTTAGATGAAATTTTTTATCTATTGAACTTTGTACTTCTCTCTCTCTCTCATACACATACATTTTTAATAGAATTCCATTGATCTATTATCAATAAAAAAGGAAAAATAGGTACATAATTATAGGATTATATAAACCAGTGTTTGAAATGTGTATGAAGCTTACACCTTGAAGTTCACTCCTAAAAGTGTAAGGTGCATTTTTGTATCTTGAGATGCCTTATTTCAAGATCATATGTTCAATATGTTAATTGAAGTAGGCCTCTAATGGTCTAATCACAAGACTAACATTGAGTTAAGACCAATTCTAAGTTTTTTTGTATATGTAACTTGTTTAGGCTAATACTTTGTTATGCTTAGCATATTTAGAATTTTAATTTGATGTCTCATTTTACTTTAATAACTTTCTAATAATCTCCAAAGGGTTAATAATAGTGCAATTATTTTCTTTAAAGCTCTGAGTGTAAATTCATCTTTACATTTTTCTAAAATGAAAGTAATCCTTTTTTGTGCATATCTCTGTTCTGTTTTGATTTTAGTACATTTTGTCTCCAAGGAATGAGATTGCATGAAGTTGAGGCTCACTCCTTGAGGCTTATGTGCACATGTCAAAGGTCTAGGTCCTATAATGGGGGACCAATTGTAGGGTACCTAATATTGTTCCCATTACCCAACACTACCTAATACTGTGATGGGAATAGTATTAGGGACCAGAAAATAGGGTTTGTAATGGAGAAATTGAAAATGAAAGAAGAGATGTAGGTGGCTGGATCATGTAAAGTGTATGCTGAATCAAGGATCTGGCAAAGGGATGAGATAGAATAGAGAAAAGAGAGGAGGTTGTGAAAAATAATATTCTTTAAAGAGAAAATATGGGTAGAAGAGAAATGTGCATTTAATGCTTTGCTTTTTTTTTTTTTAAAAAAAAAGGAATAGAATTACAGAAGAGGATTAGAATAAAAGAGATAAAGGAAAAAGTGCATACTAAAATTGAGCTTTTCTCATCATTTCATTCAAAAAGAGGACTTGTATACAGGTCATAGATAATTAGACGTATACTGAGATGTTACTTCATGAACAGGTAACATTTTAAAAAGAGGAGGATTTTGGCTTTGTTTTCAGGGCCAATTAGTATGGGAAAATCTTATATATATTAATTAATTAAAGTTAGTAACAATTAATAAAAACAAAAATTAATAAAATTTTATTAATTTTAAATATAGTTTAGTTAATTTAAATTCCATTTAAAAATAGGGAAATTATAAAAATCTCCTTGGGTTTTCTAACAGTCCTGCGAACCTCCCTTGTGTTTTGACCTTACCAAAAACCTCCCCTATTGTTTTGAAAAAAGGTGCAAATACCTTTTTCCATTATTCCAAATGGAAAATGCTGATGTAATACATTAGTTTTTTTAAAATATCAAATTTACTATTAATTAACTTCATTCAGATGTAAGTTTACTAAAACTAAAATACCTTAAAAAAAAGATTTGCTCCCTTTTACTTCATTTCAGCCTTAACCTTATTTCGTCCAAGAAGTGTAGAATTACTCTTTGAAAGTTGTTAGTAAAATAAATTATTGGAGGGTGAAGTTGAAACTTTAAATTGTGTACAATAACGCCTTAACAATAATATGGGTTTTTGGTAACTTCAACGCATGGTTCAAAGTATCAATATGATACGCCTCGTATCAGGCGTATCATATCGTATCTTTTGAAAACGATACGATCCTAAAAGCCTGTTTCTAGGGTTTTGGACCCCCAATTTTTTTAATAATAAAAAGCATGCTAAAACTTCCCAAAAAACCAAAATTTGAAAAAAAAAACTAAAAAGAAAATAGAGTTTCAGCCGTTTCTAAGTGCCGATACGATACAACCAAAACTCGTATCGTATCGATACTTTAAACCTTGCTTCAACGTCTTTGTTATTGAAAAGCTAATGGAAGGGAGATATTTGTACTTTTTTCAAAACTATAGGGGAGGTTTTTGTTAGTATCAAAACACAAGGGTGGTTTGTAGAATTGTTATAAGAGGAGTTTTTTTATAATTTTACCTAAAACATAATACGAAAATAATAAAAAACCAATACAATTTAAAAATTAATAAAAAATAGCATTAAGATACAAAAAATAATACAAATTTATCTAGAGCATAGGAAATTGGCCACTCTCACTAAGCGCAACTTGGATTGTGATTGGATAAATTAGATATAATCCAAAAAAATAATGCTTGAATTGAACTTGGATGGCCACTGTGTAATTGGAAATGTCATAGAGCTCGTTCCTCAAATTTTCTTAACAAGCCCATGCATCACATAGGTCCCAACTAGTACTTGGATTGGAAGTCTAATTGGTCAGTAGTTGGATTGGTGGGCCAACCTTGCTCATCCAATGGTATGAATGTACTTGTTGCCCTAGCTTCCAATGGTAGTATGTCCTGTCTCATGTTGGCTTAAAAGTATGTTTGGCTTGACTTTTCTTGTTGCAGCCATTGAAGGCGTTTCTGTGGAAAGTGTAACTAAAGCCTCAGAAAAAGTACAAGTTATACTGGATGAGGTCAGTTTGTTGATGTATTGCACTGAATCTTACTTGATTTTGGTTAGGCCTGTAAGCGGAGCGAATTCGAATCGAATCAAACAATATTCGTATTCGATTCCGATTAAAGAATAGCTGATTCAAATTCGATCTGATATCCGTCAGTCATTGAAAAATATAAATTGAAAATTCTATAAATATTGAAAATTCTAAATCTAAAAATCATTATACAAGAAAAAAACCCTGACTTATGAGCATAGAAGAAAGCAAGAGATGAAAGTGCTTGGATGGCTATAGTGGGTAGAAGCTAAGACTCGAATGATAGAAGTTGGAACACCACGAAACCCATTTGTCTTCGACAAAACCTGGTGCTATCTCCTTTTTTCCTCTCATTCTACCTCTGATTGCTGTTGAGGGGTAATTTGGTCCTCCCAATCGTTTAGTGACATATGGCTTCTGGATGACACCTCGGAGTTGACTTAGTAAGTTAGCTTAGAGCACCTCACTCAAGCCGACCTTCACCTCGGCAAGGATGAGCTAGCAGACCCGTAAGATTATGGCGACCTGTTCTATGAGCCGGTCGAGCTGAGAGGGCCTAAGGCGACTTGCAGGAAGATCTCACTAACCGCCCCCAGCAGTTCGCTACCAAAGGTGCCGATAGCGCGACCATTAGAATGACATGCCATGTCGTTGCCTCGACTTTACTTAGACATCGTAACCTCCGTGAGGATCCAGTAACTGACGCATTAGTGCGCCAGGAAAGCAGGAAAACGGCTCCACAAAGAGCTCAAGACCATTACACTAGATTCCCTGAGTCCAGGGACCTATAGAAGGCGCCCAAACCCACTCAGAAAGGTATGCACACTAAACCTTCTAGAGCTCTCTCACTCTTTCAGAAAGCTTCTCAAACATCTACTGACTTAAGCATCAGAATGCCCTCCCCGGGTAAAAAATGCCTAGACACTCACCTTCTACTCCTTGCAGCACACATCAACTCGGACATTCAGACATCAGCTTGGCCCCTATAGCTCGGCCTAGTTAGGTAGACATCTAGTCAGAGTCCAAGTCACAATACACGAGGGAGCATCCAGATTGTGCGACACCAATTGGCGTTGTCTGTGGGAACACGCTGCAAAAGCTAAGTTCTCTATTACTGTTTTTTGAAAGTTAAGAAGTGACTTCCTCAAGCAACCAGCTTGCCAGTAACAACAACAACAATAACAATGATAATGGCCGAATCCCCACCGTTACTATTGGACAAATCGACGTTCCTCTATACCCCGTAGCTGTACCAGAAAATGTGAATGCACCTCCTCCTGCGGTTGAGCCCGTAGTAGCTCCTGCAGCAGTAGTCACGTGCTAATTCTATGATTTGGTACGTTGCGTGTAGGGAATGAGCAAGCAACTCAAATCTTGGGAAAACAAATTCGCCACTGTAGTAGGACAGCAGCAACCACAACAACCACAACAACAACAACAGTAGTAACACCAACGCCAGCAAGTGCCTCTTGAGCAGGTACCCCAACACAGTCAGTAGGTGCCTCTCGAGCAGGTGCCTCGAAACAATCAATAGATACCTCTCCAACAGAATGCCAACATGAGTCAGGTCGTCCGCATCGACTTTGCCTCAGTCCGTAGCCAGATTCAAGGATCCAACGGTGTACCAGGGAACACCAACAACCAGCCTCCCTTTGATAATGTGGCCCTTAATAACAACCAGCTACCGATGGAGAGCCAAGCTGCGGCTCTTGTCAGGACCGAGGCTGCAAGCTCGTCTGCAGGGACCAAGAAAAAGTGCGGAAGGCACACTCACTGCGCTAGGAAGAAAAGCCAGCTTGCTCCAACCAGGGAGGCATTGGGAAGCAAAGTGAACAAGGAAGAAAGTAAGCTAAGTAGCAAGGCAGTAAGCTAGGCCGGTACGCTACCCGAGCAACCACGACTGAGTCGAGCATCCCCCTTGGCAACAGAGATACTTAAGGCACCAAGGCCTAAAAACTTCAGGGCACCGCCTCTCAAAACGTACAAGGGAACCACAAATCTGAATGAACATGCAGATAGTTTTCAAGCCCTTATGTTGCTCCATTGGGCCAATGACACAAGTATGTGCGTCGCCTTTCTGACTACATTGAAAGAAGAAGCCTAGCTCTGGTATTCGAGATTGGCCCCAAGTTCCATCAAGAATTGGGATAAGTTCGCCAATATGTTCACCAGCCAGTTCGTAACCATCAGAAGACACTCGAAGTCCGCAAGACGGTGCGAGAATATGTACGGAGATTCAACATGGAACGTTTGAAGATTCCAGATTTGGATCCCGCCGTGCAGTTGACAGCAGCCAAAAATGGTGTATGCCACCCTGAGCTATGTTGGGAAATGGAGTTAAACCCGCTGGCAACCATGGAAAAGTTCCTCGCCATCGCAAATCAGTTCATGAAAGCAGAAGTTGTGGGATTGAAGTCCGACTTGATAGGAAAGAGAAAGCAAGTCGAGGAGGAAGCAAGCAACAACAAGAAGAAGAGGAGAAGCAAATCCCCTAGAAGAAGCAAATCTCCAAGAAGCAGCAGGTTGCCAAGGAGCAGGCGCAGCAGTTCACCGCGAAGAAAAAGCAGATTGCCACCTCGGAGCTCGACTCGGAGACAAGCCACTCCACCGTTGTATAATAGGACTTTTACCCCCTTGAATACTAAAAGGGGAGAGATTTTGATGCACATAAAATCTAATGAATATGTAAAGTGGCCGCCTAGGATGAGGGGTGACCCAAATACTAGGAACCCCAACAAATATTGCCACTTCCACCGGGATGTTGGCCATGACACTGAGAATTGCTGGAACTTGAAAAACAAAATAGAAGACCTAATAAAACGGGGGTATTTGAAACAGTTAATCAAGGATGAACGACGACCTGAAGATCAAGGCAGAGAGGTACCCCAAGCAAGTTGGGAGCAAGATGCAGCTCCTAGATACCAACAAGAGCGATCTGTCTGGGGAACAATCAACATGATCACAGGAGGATCGATTATCGCCGGGTGCACCACCTCAGTGAGTAAGAACTTAGGGAACTGGAGCAAGAAAACAACCTGTCAAAGCGCCCAAAAAGAGAAGAGGTAATCTACTTTACCGAGGATGACATGCATGGGATCCAACACCTGCATGACAATGCCTTAGTAGTGAGACTGCTCATTAACAATTTCAGGGTGAAGAGAATTCTTGTTGACTCCAGCAGCTCCGCCGACATCTTATTTCTAGAGGCCTTTGAGCGAATGGAGTTCGGCAAAGCCGACCTACAACCCGCCAGCATTCCTCTGATAGGATTCAACAGAGAGGTAGTTTGACCTATTGGAAAAATAAGAGTACTGGTGGAAGCAGGTTTGCCTCCCCACACGGTGCGGTTTGACCACGATTTTCTAGTGGTTGCCACGCCTTCTCTATATAACGTACTAGACCGACCTATCTTGCATACCCTACGAGCTGTTGTTTCAACATACCATCTGGCTATGAAATTCCCTGCTGACACAGGCATTGGAGTACTGTGAGGTGATCAGCTAGAATCCCATAAGTGTTATGTGGCCGCCTTAAAAGCAAAGGGCAAGATTGCCATCGACATTGACTTGGAGCCACTACCTGAGAATACAGATGAGTGAGCTTGTCCTACTGAAGAAACCATTTCGGTTCCGGTATCTCAAACGGAGCTAGAAAAGACACTATAGATAGGAGCTCGCCTAAAAGACCCAGTGTGCTCCGAGCTAGTAAGTTTTTTACTTAATAATTTGGATGTTTTCTCCTAGTCGGCTGCAGAAATGCTCGGCATAGACCCTGAGCTGATAACTCATAAATTAAATGTTGACCCAACAGAGGAAAAGGAACCTCGCCCTGGAAAGATGGCAAGTAGTAGATGAGGTGGGGAAGCTACTAACAGCGGACTTTGTGAAGGAAGTCTAGTACCCGAGCTGGATAGTGAATCCGGTGTTGGTAAAAAAGGCCAATGGCAAGTGTGCATCTATTACACAGACCTGAACCGAGCTTGCCCCAAAGATAGCTTCCCCTTGCCCTGGATAATTCGCCTGGTGGACACAACCTCTGGATTCGAGCCGTTGAGTTTTATAGACGCATACTCCGGCTATAACTAGATTCTGATGGACCCAACAGACCAAGAAAAAATGGCCTTTGTAACAGAAATGGGCTTGTACTACTACAAAATCATGCCCTTTGGACTGAAAATGCTGGAGCAACATTCTAGTGCCTTGTAAATCATGTGTTTTCTGATCTAATTAGAAATAAAATGGAGTGCTATGTCGATGACATGGTGGTTAAAACTCGTTTTTGGAATGATTTAGTCGTCGATCTAGACCTCGTTTTCAATGTTTTGAGACAACATAACCTAAAATTGAACCCTAACAAGTGTGCTTTCGGTGTAACATCGGGCAAGTTCCTCGGGTACATCGTCAGCTAGCGTGGTATTGACGCCAACCCAAACAAAATCCAGGCAATCCTAGACATGCGACCTCCTATTAACCGGTCAAATAGCTGCCCTAAACCGATTCATGTCTAAGTCGGTGGGGAAGTGCTTACCCTTTTTTAAGGCCATTAAGAAGAACCAAAGCTTTGAGTGGACTGAGGAATGTTAGCTTGCCTTCGACGAGCTGAAGAGGTATCTTAGTTTGCCTAACCAAACCTGAAACCAGGGACGAGCTCAAACTCTACCTCTTTGCGGGGGACGAGGTGGTTAGTTCTGTCCTAATAAGAGAAGTAGATAAAATACAACGACTTGTTTACTACATGAGCAAAGTCCTGCACGCCGCTGAGACCAGGTACCTAGACATAGAGAAGCTCGCCTTTGCGCTAGTACTAGTAGCTTGGAAACTAAGGTCCTACTTCCAGGCTCACACTATTGTAGTCCTGACCGGTTGACCTCTGAGACATTCTTCAGAAGCCCGAGGTCTCGGGGAGACTGACAAAGTGGGCAATAGAGCTCAGCGAATACGACATCCGTTATGAGCCGCGACCAGCGATAAAAGCACAGGTTC